TATGTCAAGAAGCACCCTTTTCATTCAAAAATCTATCGAATCCTTATCATGAAATCTTTGGAATCTATCAAACCACATCATTTTAAGAGTTCGTATGTAACTCATTTTGAATCCCTTCCAAACAATACTAAGTAGTTCTTAAGTAAGGTCGTAAAATATATTAGGACCTAGAATAGGGTATAGACATTCATTTGTATATAGCGTATTGTAATATGTCGTTGAAAGGAAGGGTGCTATAACCTATTTATAATCTCTTATATTTACTGAGATTTCTCTTTCAGTTCGTCTCTGACAAATCAAACAATATGGTTAACAACATTTACACATGTAACTCCTTAAATAATCATCCTCATCTTTTTTTGGATAGAAATAACATTCTTCACATTAATACTCTCCTAATAAATATATGCACCTTTCACAATAACCACCACATGGATGTAATTTTGGAGGCTTAACATTATCATAATATTAATAAAAGTTAATCAAAAAACTTTTCACTTTCAAATTCCAATATTCATTTAAAAAATAAGCGCTTTCTTCTTCACCATAATAACAGAATCCACCAAATAGCACATAACCAGATTCACATCTCAAGCATGTTATTTTGTTATTGTAATCAATAAAACACACAGAACAATACGATAATAATGAACTACAACGATTAATCTCTCTTGAAACTTGAAAATGATCTAAACTAGATGTTAAACATATTTCTATATTTGATATTTTTGTGACCGATGTTACACAATTCTTTATAGAAGGAGCCTTCTTTATACATCTTTTATGGTAGAAATTAAAATTATAATCTTTTTCACATAACAAACAACCAATGTATGCTTTCTGTGGATATTGATAGATATTTGATATTTCAATACTCATTAAGAATTAACCATCATCGAAATATTCAAAACAATATAGACAATTTTCTATTGGGCATAGCTCACACTTTTTCGAAAATGATGCATAATATGGAGGCTAACATGATGTATAATTAAACTTTTCATAATGGGTACATGTACCATTAAAAAGTTCTCCTTGATAATTACATTTTAAACAAAAAAAACCATTATTTATAGTTAATCCGCAACTTTCACAAAAATAAATATTGCAAGCATAGCATTAATGTTCATCATACCTAGTAGATTGCTATTGATATGAATTACAAAAAGAAAAAAAAATCTATGAGCTCATTAAAAATCGCTCATAAAGAAGTAGCTCATTTTAAATACTATATCTTTTAAACTCATACCAAGGAATATTAGTTGAGATTAAGTCAGAAGAATCATGTAAGTAAAAATTCTAGGCGCTCGGTCTTTCATATTTACCTGATACTTTAGTAAATTCTAAATTTTCACTGCAATATGGTTGTAGAAACCATTCATCTGGATTGCTAAAGCATTCAAGGCAAATTAAGAAATCACTATAGATTCTTAAAGGGCTGAATAATAATGAATGATATTTACCATTTAATACAATCTCCATCTAATTCAAAGTATCCCATTTTACAGTTTAAGGTTTTTCTTTGTTTGACATTTAACTAAAGATTTAAATATAGATATTAGTCCATATAATCAATGCATGTGTTGTTGTCATCAATGGTACCATATTGACAATCGCATTGTTTAAATTCTGGAATATATATTCTTTTCGATTCCTCAGAACAACTTAAACAATCATATTTAGTGGGTCCATCACATTCTTTACAGCTCTAATGACATTTTTGCCATTTTAAATCTTGCATGCAGTTGCTAAATAGCAAACGTCTTACAATCACATCTAAATAATCTAATTTTGTTTATTAAATATTTCCATAAGTAATTTTCAATTATTAATTATGGAATTACTTAACATCAAATATGGTTTTATATGATTGAGTATTTGAAACTTCATAAAATATGATAGAGAAATCTAAGACACTTTCATGCAAATTTATGTGTATATATTGCCATGAAGTAATAGTATTATAAATTATTAATTCTCTTTTAATTAAAAATGGATCATCTGAAAAGTCTTAAGTAACAGAAGGAAAATCGTATTTATATGTTGTAATTATTATTTTATTTTGAATTGAAGAAATGTGATAGCTAAGCTGAAAAGTGGCTAAATTTTCATTTTCCCCTCCCTCAACGTTTGTATTTATTTTCAAGAACTAATAAATTAATTGTTCAGAAGATTAATAAATTTATGATATCCTTAGCCATCCAGCCAGAGTGTATGAATTGCAATTTACATTTTATAAAGTATTTGTCTATAGATCTAGAAAAAGTAAATGAACATCGCTCATATTTAAATCTGTTACACATTCACAATTTTATATTTCCTAATAAAATTAAGTAATTTCAAACCAAAAATCAAAATCTATTGATATTCTCTTCATCTCAAAGTTATATACAATTAATTAACCAGGATAAAGTGAGAATATTCTTCCTTACTCAATTAATACAATATTTGAATTCTCTACTTTTAAACTCCCACCAAAAGTAAATAATAATTTTTAGTCTCTATTAGGCAATATAAGTTCAAGAGTTTCCTTAAAGATCTCATTTAGCTAGGAGGAAATTGCTAATTCTACTCTGTTTTTCGAAATATTTGTTATAATGGAAAAAAAATACCAAATATCTTCATATTCAGAGGGTTCTATAGTTAATGAAAATATAAACTATTCAGTCTAGCTAAATCCAATTTAGATGAATTTTTTGATCTCTTTAGTGGTATCATAGACGCAATCATATTATATAAAATTTAAACTTTAAGTTGCATAATCAACAGAGTTTATTATTTAAAAACAGTTGCTGTCGAATAGGCCATAAGCATCCTTCAAACTGGCATGACCTAAGGGATTATATTTTGACCAAATTCCAAAAGGTAAGTGTTTTTAATCCGATTAGTCTATTTCAAATTATTCAGCTATCTGTATATCAATTAATGCTGATTGGCTTAATGCTTTATTTTCTAAAGAATAATATCCTTATAAGAAATCTATCATCAACAGAAAAATTAGTATCATCACAGAATAAAAAAAATTAAATAATTAATTAAAAAGTAAAAAGGAAATTGTATTTATGTTATCTATTCCTCTAATCTTAACGTAAAAATAATATAATTTTGATTTACAGTTTTAGTTATACTTTTCAAATTAGAAATGTCTGTTTAAAAATTAAATTTTGCATATAAAGTTTTTTAGTCATGGGCAATCAAAACTAAAAGATTACTTTGAATTTTTGATAAATATAATATATAAAAAATACATTTATTTTTGAATTCTTTTTATTTGCTCTTCAATTTTTAAGATATCTTCATTATTTAATCTAATTATTCTTAGTAAAGGATAAAAGCATATTCTTAGTAAAGAATAATAGTTTAATCTGTCCTTAATTATTGATAGACTTTAATGGATAGATTGGATGCAACTTTTTTAATTGGAAAAATCAAGCTACTAAAATTTAATGCATAAATCAAAATCCAATTTTCATATGGTTTTCTAAGAAAGTAATGTAGAACTAACTCTACATAAAGAGCATATATA